TATTTTTAAAAATTCCTTTTTTATAATGCAGTACACTTGTATCTGCCCACCAAATGATCACCGTAAAGGTGGAATCCTTTAGAATCTTGAATTAGATTGAAAAAAATGAGGCATTAGTTTCCTCCGTATCCACACCTGAGAAGTTTTGTGGTAGTTCTGGCCCCACAGGTAACCTACCTGGCTGTAATCCTGCACTGATGTGTTAAAATATCGTACACCTGATATAGAGTATGAACTTAAAATGAGGCTTAAAAGGGAGAATGCGGGCAGCTTAGCCTTAACTAACTTTATACCCCTGTCAGATGTGAATCTATGTTATGGGAAGATCATGTGATGTTACTTTGCATTACAGTAGGCTATTTAGAATTCTAACTCTACTATAAAATGCAAACGCTGTAACGCTGTTACTGGGATATGTGTGCAGGAGAAGGATCACCATAGTAGAAAGAGTTAATTGTTAAGAAAACGATATTGTGAAGTCACTTCTCTAATATTGTTACTACTTCTACGTTTTTTTTTTCTGTTGGCAGATCTATGTAGTGAGAGTTTTGAGGGAAGGGCAAGTTGAGCCAACATTTGTCTTCCGAACATTTGACGAGTTCCAGGAGCTCCACAACAAACTTGGCATTCTCTTTCCTCTGTGGAAGTTACCAGGGTATGTTCCTAACTTACTCATCACTGTTACAATGGAAGCAACAAAACTGCTTGCAGCTGAGGGGAGGAAGAAGAGATGAGATGGAGACAGAACTGCTGAGGGGCAAACTAGACCTCAAAGCTGGCTATTAAGGGAGAAAAGTGTTGTCTCTGAGTTTTAAGAAGAGTCAGAGGAGCAATGCAATGTCTTTAGTCTGTGTTGTATCGCTTGTAACAATTACCTATAAACGTGTTCTTGCCTTTCTGTAGTGTCATTACCTATTAGGATGCTGTGTTTCCTTTCACGATTGACATAAAGGACATCAGCACTTCAGGATGAAAATAACAATGAAATCTAACTGTACGTACTTCAGAGAAATTAACTGAAAACTCTGTCTTGTTCTTACCTTGTAGCTTTCCTAATAAGATGGTTCTGGGAAGAACACATATAAAAGATGTAGCAGCTAAAAGAAAAGTGGAGCTCAACAGCTACATACAGAGTCTGATGAACAGTTCTTCGGAGGTGGCAGAAGTGAGTTCAAATAAGCAAATCAATACAAGTTTTCAGATTCTGGTGCTTGTTAAAACTTAAACTAATGTGTAATGTTTCTTCCAAATTTAGTGTGATCTTGTTTATACTTTTTTCCATCCATTACTTCGTGACGACAAAGTGGAAGGAATAGAAGGAATAGCCAGACCGACAGGTAGGTAATGTTTTTGGGGGGTGTTGGAATGCCTATAGTATGACACCTTTATAATATGAATTACTTTTTTAAAAATCTTTTTAAATTAACTGTAGTTTTCCCTCATTGAAAACTTTGTATCACTGTCTTTCCAGATGTGCCTGCATACAGTTTCAAGGAAATAAAAACATACAAAAATTGCAGCGATATATGTGATCACTTGAGCTTGCTTATGGCTTGACTAAATTAGTTAAGTTTTATCTCTCAACCTCCAAGTCAGTTCTTACAAGAGAAGGCAAAAATCTTGAAAACATATGGCTTTGCCCTCTTATTAAGGAACTAGAAATAAGATCAGAAACTTAATTTGGTCTAAGGCTTGTATTTTTTCCCCCATATATAGTAAGTCAGTGTAGTACTGATGAAAATGTACAAATATTACAGAGGAAATAATTCTATTTTTTTTTTCAGATTCAAGTCCATCAAGTCCTACCTCAGGCAAAGTGGGAGGAGAAGTGAAGCTATCCATATCATATAGAAATAGCACTCTATTTATCATGGTGATGCACATTAAAGACCTGGTAAGTAAAGATACTGAGCTCAGTGCTGAAAACCGTTTCCATTTTGTCAATTACCTTCTTGACTTAGATTGATGCAGGAGTGTTGGAACTATCTATCTTCCTCCAAATTTTCCAGCTGCGAACTTAATTAACTGCTGCTTTTGGTTAGCTTGATTGCAAAGTCTAGGTACTTGAAAATAAATACGCAAATAGGTATGCACTAACTTGTTTTCTAACTTGTCTTGGTTTTCAATTGTAGGTTACAGAAGATGGTGCAGATCCAAATCCCTATGTAAAAACATACTTACTTCCAGATACGCACAAAACATCGAAACGCAAAACCAAAATATCCCGGAAGACAAGAAATCCAACTTTCAATGAAATGGCAAGTTAAAATTTATGTATTAACTCCCTTTGCTATTGTCTCTTATTCTAAGCAATAATTAAAATATTGTCTAAAACAAATCTGCAAAGATATATAAGTGGAAAAGGAACTTGTTTGGAAAACTCTGTGCCCTGTTAAAAAACAAGTGAACAAACAAAACACGAGCCAAGCAAACACACACATACATACACACACCCCCCTCCAAAAAAAAAAAAACCCACAACAAAACAAACAAAACAAAACAACAAAAAAAACCCCAACAAAAACCCGACAAAAAACCCAACCCAAAATCCCAAAGCAGCTCAGTAGGTAAGTGTACTATTCTAAGTAAGCAGAAATTTCTCAGACTGACTCTGAGGAGTGTTGGGGTGAAGAAAAGGAATCTTGGAACCGAAGATCCCTTTGCCCTGGATTCACTGGTTCATAATGCAGAGAAGAATGCATTCAGAAGTCTTAGCATGAAAACAATACTTACATCTAAAAACACTGGTTCTTTTAAACATTTAACATTGGGAGCACAAAATAAAACGTGGATGTGTTTCAGCCCATCCTCTGGGAAACAGACATAGTGAATGGGCTTAATGCGTACTTCAGGCATCTGTCAGTGGCTGGGCAGGAAGAAGAACGGGCAGTCTGTAACTTCATTTGCATAACCCAAAATTCTGTATTTCTTACCTTCCAGCTTGTGTACAGTGGATATAGCATGGAGACTCTGAAGCAGAGAGAACTTCAGTTAAGTGTGCTCAGCGCGGAATCATTACGTGAGAACTTTTTCTTGGGTGGAATTACACTCTCACTGAAGGACTTCAACTTGAGCAAGGAGACCGTTAACTGGTATCGACTAACTGCTGTACCTTATCTGTGAACTCATGTCTACACCCGAGTAAGACCAAAACAATTGTATTCACTTGTGCTTTGTGCGTCTTCCTACTTGAAGATAACTGTACATCTTAAAATAAGAGACTCTGCATTTCAACAGATATGTTGGACCAATGTTTATGTAGCCTAATTTGGAGGATTTCTAGAAAATCTGGTTTGTGCTTATGTGATGTTATCAAAGCATCACTGTAAATGTTTAAGAGTTGCAGATCAAGGAAGGGGTTTTAAACCATCCATGAAAGTGAGATGAACAGTTTGACCATGCTGGTAGGTTAAACCATAACTTATCATTGGGCCTGTGGATATGGTGCATTTTTGCTTTTAATTTTTGTTACCTGTGTTGTCATCCGTGGCATGATGCTGGAGAACATCAAAGAAATGACATATTTTAGGATTACATTCCCACTACTAACTAGACATCACAGAAGCAGCATGGGTAAGATTTTGGTGGCTTCACACACCTGTAGAAATGAAGGTTGAAGGGCTGGAAAAACTCCTTAGGGTTGCATTTAATCCCAGATTCATGCTTCTCTAAGACTCACTGGAGAGTGCCAATAGTGGAAGTTGTAAATAATGGTGCCTTATAATTCAAATGCTTCTCTTTTACCTCATTTCTGGTATTTAAATATGTATACATGTTAACTTTCAGCTCCTTAAAAAGGGGAAATGTTCTCATATTTGATACCTTGCAGGTCCTACTGGAAGTCTTCTCCTGAGATGTGTTATTTACAAATAACATCACTTATACTGATCTTCATAGTCAGTGGAACTTCTAAATTTTTTTTTCTACCCATGATCTCCAAAAATTGAATGAAGACTGTCTGAATGTGGTACTGTAAGAAAAGTACCCAGTTCTCAGTGTTTTGAAATGTCTTAATTTCTAGAACTTTTAACTTCTGCAGTGATGAAATGTGGAACAGATTCAAATACTAAATCCAAAGTGGCATTTGCACCTATACCTCCGGGTAGGGATGGCCTCTGGTTAAAAAGCACAACTGCTGGATGCATTGCAGGCTGGAAATTAGTTGCACTGAGAGCCTTGAGAGGGGAACTTGGTCACTCGTTTTTTAAGAGTTCACAGCAATACTGTTTCTCACTCCCACAAAGAATTAATTCCACCAAAAAGACTTTCTTCGAAGGAACATTAGACTTGAGCTGTATTGTGGTGGGGGAGTACAAATGTCCTTATCTCCTGTTAATACCAGTGGTTACTTCATTAGGTGTTTCTGCACTACAGCTCTACCTTTTTATGATCCTGTTTGGTCTAAACAAAGCTGTCAAGGTGCATGCTTTTCTTCAGTACTGAATCTTGAAGCAAGACCATCACCACTGACTAGGACGAGAGCAATGATTTAAATTAAAATGCACAGCTATGAACCAAGTCACAGTATGGGGAAAGCCTTCTACATATCTAACACTAACAATCTGCTTCATAATTGGGTTTTCCTTCCCCTGTCTCCCTTCCATACAGAAGAGAGAAGTAAACTTGAATCTCTTGGTGCCTAAAATATTCATGGTCCAATTTTGTAGGCGTTATTACAATAAAAGTTAATATCTTGAATGGTAGGAATGGGGTTGATACTAATGGGCGCTAACAAATCCCAGTTTTATTAGGCATCTTCTGCGTATTTTTTCATTTAGTATATAGCCTGTACATAATAGACTATATAACTAACTAGATATATTTCCTGCTCACTTGATGCTTTTGAGACTTACTCCATTCCATCATAAGAATCACAAGTCACTTAAAACACAGGAAAGTAGACTACTGTTTTTGTGAAACGTTCCGTTGTGAAATAAAATGAAAGCAATATGTACTGCCTTTTTTGCAGTTTGCTACTAAAGCACAGTGTCTTACAGCACAAAATACAAATAAACTAAAATCATTTAAAAAATGATTTGCAGTTTTAACAGTTGTCTGGACTCTGAAGAATTGTATAGTACTGTATTATTGTAACACATGTCCTGACTTCTGATTTAATCTTCTTCATAGCTTAACTCATTTTGTGCCTTTCCCTTCCTTTTCAAAATAGTCACTGGCTGAAGCTTTTTATGGTCATGGATTTTGTTTTATGTAGGGGATCCGGCTGTGGCCTTTCCTCACCTGTAGAGGAACAGCACCAAGCTTGCACCTCTTTGCACTACTCTCGATTAAGAAAAAAATGATTGTTGCAATAAGACTTTAATGTACTCTACATACAAAAAAAAGATAGATGTGAAAAAGGAAAATACTCAATTGGGGTGGAATTTACCAGTACACGAAGTAGCTTGAAAAAGTAGTTTTAACAGCTTTTTCTATCTTCTTTAATGAAACGAAAAAAACACTTTTATGCAGCCAGAAATGCAATTGTCTCTACGGACCCTGTTTTGGTATTTCGGAGTAAAAGCTTGCGCCACCTCTCCGGTTGTCTGTTAACCCGGACCTTTGCACTGAAGTTCTCCCGCCCGCCTTCTCCCGCGCTCCGGGCCCCGGCTGGGACTGCGGGCTGGGGAGGGGGGGAGGCCGCTGTGTCCGTGTAGCTCGGGCCGGGGCAGCTCCGGCGGAAGGCCGCGGGAGCAGGCGGGTCCCCTCGCTTTGTCTCGATGCCTGTCAGAACCGAATGCTTTAATTAACGAGCTCGCTAATAAAGACGTACAATGTTGCCCTCCGCCGGGCCCGTACTGAGCGGGTTAAATGTGACTCCGGAACTGTCCTGTAAGTACATTAAACGCTATTCTGGGAAAAAAAAAACCCGTGTGCTGGTCTTCACTGCCCG